AAGCATGAGCCACTGCACATGGCCTGTAATACTGTATCAATCGCACACAAATTATTCTTCAATAGAATGAGTTTTAAGAGACAAAAAAGGATAGTTCCTGTTCAGTACAATAGAAATATACAACTACAAACATATACACATCTAGTAACAGTATGCCAAAATATATAAACAGAATCTAATAAAACCAAAGGGAAAATAGACAATCTACGATCACAGCTGGAGATTTAACACGCTGTTCTCAGTAATAGAACAAGTAGACAAAAAGAAAAAGGTATACAGAAGATTCAAACAACACTACAAGCTGAACTTGACATTTAGAGAACATAATCACCAACAACTCCAGAACGAACACTCTTTCCGCCATGTGTGAGACATTCATCAAGACAGACCACACGCTTGTCTCAACAGACTGCAAAAGATCAACATCTTACAGAGTGTTTCCAGACCGCAACAGCAATAAATTAGAAATCTGCAACAACAACTCATCCAGAAAGGACCCCAAATGTCTAGAAATTAACTTGCTTCTAAACACCAAAGGGTCAAAGAAGAAATCACAAATATCACTAGAAAATATTTTTACCAGAATAATAGTGAAAACATAACATAAGGAAAATTGTGGAATATAATTCAGGAAATGTTTAAAGCAAAATTTATAGCATTAAAAATTATATAAGAAAATAAGAAAGGTCTCAAATCAGAAGTAGGAAAAGAAGGGAAAACCAAAGCCAAAGAAGGCAGAAACAGGAAATAATAACCCAAAGAGCGGAAATCAGCCAAGGAGCAGAAAACACAATATAGATATGAATGAAACCAAAAGCTAATTTTTTGAAATGATCAATATCACTGATAAATCTGTAGCCAAATTTAGAAAAAAGAGAACACAAGAGGCTGGGCATGGTGGCTCACGCCTGTAATCCCAGCACTTTGTGAGAGTGAGGTGCGCGGATCACAAGGTCAAGAGATCAAGACCATCCTGGCCAACATGGTGAAACCCCATCTCTACTAGAAATACAAAAATTAGCTGGGCGTGGTGGCGGGCACCTATAATCCCAGCTACTCGGGAGGCTGAGTGAGACAGGAGAATCACTTGAACCTGGGAGGCGGAGGTTGCAGTGAGCCGTGATTGCACCATTGCACTCCAGCCTGGTGACAGAGCAAGACTCTGTCTCAAAAAACAAACAAAACAACAACAACAACAACAAACCCATGAATTACCAATATCAGAAATGAAAGAGGGGACTTCGTTACAGATCCTATAGATAAAAATGAATAAAAAAGGATTCTTTTTTTTTTGCGATGGAGTCTCGCTATTGTTTCCCAGGCTGGAGTGTAGTGCACGATCTTGTCTCACTGAAACCTCTGCCTCCTGGGTTCAAGTGATTCTCCTGCCTCAGTCTCCCAAGTAGCTGGGATTACAGGCTCTGTCACCATGCCTGGCTAATTTTTGTATTTTTAGTAGAGGTGGGGTTTCGGCATGTTGGCCAGGCTGGTCTTGAATTCCTGACCTCAGGTGATTCACCTGCGTCAGCCTCCCAAAGTGCTGGGATTACAGTCATGAGCCACTGTGCCTGACCAAAAGGGATTTTTTTGCATTTTATTTTTTCAGCTTTATTGAGGTATGTTTTATATACAGTAAAAGTCGTAATGTCTAAGGAGGTATCGGGACAACTTTATGCCAACAAATCTAAAAGCTTAAATAAAATGGAAAAATTCCTTGAAAAACACAGGACACTAAAGCTCATTCAAGAAAAAAATTATATAACCTTAATAGCCTTAAATCCGTTAAAGGAATTGAATTTATAGTTAAAGCCATTCCCAAAGAAGACTTCAACCCCAGATGGCTTTGCAAGTGAATTCTGCTAAACACTTAAGGAAGAAAGAACACCAATTCTATACAATTATTTTACAGAAAAGAGAAAACAAGGGAGAACTTCCCAGCTCACTTTATGAAGTCAGCATTTCTCTGACACTAAACAAAGACAAAAACATTATGAGAAAATAAAACTACAAATATTATCCTCATTAACTTAAACACAAAAATCCTCAACAAAAGAACAGCAAGTCATATCCATTATAGATTAAGAATACATGTCACCAAGTGGGCTTCATCTCAGGAGTACAAGCTTGGTTGGACATTTGAAACTCAGTTAGTGCAATTCATCATACTAACAGGATGAAAAAGAAAATAACCGTATTTTAATCTCAGCAGATAAGGAAAAAAAGCATTTGACAAGACTCCTCAACTATTCATGATAGAAACACTCAACAAGATAGAAATAGATTTCAACCTGATAAAAGGCATCTATAAAAAAATTACAGCTTACATTATACTTAAGGGTGAAAGGCCAAATGGTTTCCCACTAAGAGAAGAAACAGGGCAAGGGTGTTTACTCTCATTATTTCTATTCACTATTATGCATGAGGACCTAGCCAATGCAATAAAGCAAGAAAAAAAAGCATGCAGTTTGAAAAGGAAGCAGTAAAATGGGTTCTATTTACCTGTGGCATGATTTTCTATGTAGAAAAATCTTACCAAATACACAAAAGCAGCTGCTAGAATTAGTGAATTCAGCAATGTCACAGGGCAAGAGGGCAATCTAAAAAGTTAATTGTATTTATATATACTAGTAACAAACAATTTTATATTAATACTATATATGTATATAGGAACATTTATTAAAGTAAATTTTACTCTAAAGAAATAAGAATAGACACAAAAATCTAATGAGGGTATCTGGTTGGGCATGGTGGCTCCTGCCTGTAATCCCAGCACTTTGGGAAGCTGAAGTGGGAGGATTGCTTGAGCCCAGGAGTTCAAGACCAGCCTGGACAATATGGTGAGACTTCGTCTCTATAAAAAAGAAAAAAGAAAAAAGAGAAAAAACACACACAGAAAAAAAAAAAATAACGAGGGTGTCTTATTTCTTTAAAGTAACACTTACAAAATAAAAAATATTAAAAATGAAATCTTTATAGGAAAATTTAACAAAATGTGTGCAAAGCCTGTGCACTGAAAACTACAAAATATTGATGAGATAAATTAATGAAGACTAAATAAATGTAGAAGATTCAATATTGCTAACATACTATTTATCCCCAAATTAAGATATATGTTCAATACAATCTCAGTCGAAATCCTGACAGACATTTTCCGGTAGAAATTGACAAGCTGGGTCTAAAATCTGTATGGATTATATATAAAAGACTTAAAATCGGCAAATTATTTTGAAAAAGAGGAAAAATGTTGGAGGACTTACATTACCTGATTCCAGCATTCACTATGGAGCTACAACAATCCAGGTACTGTGGTGTTCAAATAAGAACAGACATGGCAGGCGTGGTGGCTCACGCCTGTAATCCCAGCACTTTGGGAGGCCAAGGTGGGTGGATCGCAAGGTCAGGAGTTCAAGAACAGCCTGACCAACATGGTGAAACCCCGTCTCTACTAAAAATACAAAAAATCAGCCGGGCATGGTGGCATGTGCCTGTAATCCCAGCTACTCAGGAGGCTAAGACAAGAGAATCACTTGAACCTGGGAGGTGGAGGTTGCAGTGAGCCGAGATTGTGCCACTGCACTTCAGCCTGAGCAAGAAAAGTGAGATTTCATAAAAAAAAAAAAAAAAAAAAGATACATAAGTCAATGGGTCAGATCTGAGAGCCTAGAAATCAATCCATATTTTCCAGTCAACTGATTTTGAATAAAAGCGCCAAGGTAAGTTAATGATAATGGTGATTATTTTCAAATTTTGGTACTGGAAAAAGTGGATATCCATGTGCAAAAATAAAAACCTTGACTATTACATCACACCACATGCAAACATTAATTAAAGTGGATCACAGATGTATACTTAAGTGCTACCACTACAAAACTTCTGAAAGACAAGAAAATATTTGTAATCTTAGTTTGACAATTATTTCCTAAATAGTACACAAAAACCACAAAAGAAAAAAGTAATGATTGGATGTCATCAAAATGGAAAAGTTTTGCTTTTTACAAGATGTTAATAAGAAGATGAGAAGGTAGGTCAAAGCCTCGGAGAGAATACTTGCGAAACATTTATCTGATAAGTAACTTATGTTCAGAACATGTAAGGAATTCTTATTACTCAATTACAAGAAGACAACCCAACTTTTTAAAAATTGGCAAAGGATTAGAATAGACTCGTTACTAGAGATACATGAAAGGCTCAACACTATTAGTCATCAAGGTAATGCGAATCAAAACGCAATGGGATACCACTGAAAGCCCACCAGAACGGTCAGCATGATTAAGACTGACAACAGCGTGGGCTGGTGAGGGCGTGGGGCATCAGGAGCTTCACACATTAGTCTGGGAATGCAAAATGGTGCAGCCATGCTGAAAAACTGTCTGTCAGTTTCTTCAAAGTTAAATATTAACTTTTGATACAATCCAGCAATACTACTTCTGAGGATGTACCCAAGAGAAGTGAAAACAGATGTTCACAGAAGACTTGTCCTTGAATGACAATAGCAGCATTATTCATATCAATCTCAGATGGAAAAACACCAAATGTCCATCATTTCATGGATGAGTAAACAAATGTTGATGGAATTCTATTCAGCGACAAAAACAAGCAATCCATTGATTCATGCAGCAACATGGAAAAGTCTCCAAGCGTTTTGCCCGCTGAAGAAAGCCAGACATGAAAGACTCTGCGCTGCATGAGTCTATGTCTGTGAAATTCTATACTAAGAGGGCAGGTCATAGTTGCCTGTGCCCAGAATGGAGGGAGAGGATGCCTGCAAAGGGAACTGGGGGAGAGTTGGGACAGTGCTGGGTGACCTCGGCAGTAGTGACTCATACCAAGGTGTACAGTTGTCTAAATTCACTGAGTTGTACTCTTAACATGAATGATTGCTATTGCACATAAATTGTGTCTCAATATAAAAGGCACACAAAGTAATGCCTGAAGATAGGTATACTCATGAGCCAGCAATTTCGCTAAGTACATACCACAAAAATGCACGTCCAAGTACATCAGGGCACACAAATAAGAAGGCTCATAATTTATTCATAATATTCCCAAGCTAGAAATAAATGTTCATCGGCAGCAAAGTGGATAATAAACTGTGTCGTGTTCATGCAGTGAATCAGTAACCAGCGATGAATCAGCCACCGTTGCGTGCAACACAGAAACATTTTGCAGACACAAAGTTGAATGAAAGAAGCCAGATATGATTCCATTAATGTAAAGTTCACAAACCAGGCAAAATCAAACTAGAACGGTTAGGGAGGCATGTCAAGGTGATAAAAGTATAAAAAAAAATGCAGGAAAGTGATTTCACATGAACTCAGCAGAAGCTCTGGTGGGAGGGAGGCTGTGTGGGTTGTGTACTCAAATTCTGCGATATTCTTGTTTTTTGGGTGGGAAGTATACAGATATTCATTTATAAGTCATTAGGCTATTACATGTATACTTTATGATGCTTCTGTGGATCCATTACATTTCACAAGACAAAAGCTGTTAAGCCAATAATTAAGGCGCATTATTGTGTCTCCAAGAACTCACTGGCTGTGGTTTTCCGAGTAAGTTCTTTCAATAAATCACCAGCTGTGCAGAGTTACAGAGATGCACACACTGTGGCTGTGTCAGTGGAAGATCAATAGTGATTGTTCTCGGAGAAGAGAGGGTGAAGATTAATAATTTAAAATGTTGGGTATTTAGGTCGTTAGACAAATAAAGGATAAAAGTACTAAAAAGATGCCAGTCCTCATGGCTCATGCCTGTAATCCCAGCACTTTGGGAGGCTAAGGTGGGCAGATCATCTGAAGTCAGGAGTTTGAGACCAGCCTGGCCAACATGTGAAACCCCGTCGCTACTAAAAAACACAAAAATTAGCTAGGTGTGGTGGCAGGTGCCTGTAGTCCCAGCTACTCAGGAGGCTGAAGCAGGAGAATCACTTGAACCCGGGAGGTGGAGATTGCAGTGAGGTGAGATCACACCACTGCACTCCAGCCTGGGGGACAGCAAGACTCCATCTCAAAAAAACCAAAGTACTAAAAAGTGAAGTGATAAACAAATTAGTAAAAATAATTAGAATCAGCCAAATTCAATTAATATTGACTTCAATATTAATTGAAGTCAATATTCTAGGAGACTGCATTTTAAATGCTCATAAATATGTAAATATTAAAATAAAGTTTACATTTGATAGGAAAAATATTCTTGGATTAACACAATTGCTGTTGTAATCAGAAAAAACCTCACGAGTGTTTTTGACACCGTCTCTGGGCTTCGGTTCCTTGTCGTTAGGACAGGACGTGGCCCCAGCACAGAGGCGGCTGCAGGGACTACATGCCCTGTGTGAACGTGCTGGCACATGATGGGCTCTGTGATTTTTAAAATAACTCCTCTTTCCCCAACAACCTATCAAAGTCATTTCTCATGAGTGTGGTGCTTCTTTCTGAGGTGGGTGCCCCTCTCTGAGCCCTGAGCCCTGGGCCCCGAAAATCACCAGACAAGCCTGCAGCTTCCTGAGGTCCCCTCATGGAGTGGGGTCAAGGGTCAGGAGGAGGTTTCACAGGTGGGTCTGGGGGACGGGATTCTGCCAGAAAGCAATGGAATCAGCGTTCCACATGTGCCTGCTTCTGCTTCCAATTCCACTTCTGATTTTAAGTGTCAGAACCCAGCTCAAGTGCAGAGGCCAACCCTAAGAGAGAAGGGCTCTTGAAGGGTCCCTGTGAGCTCAACAGACTGCACAAGGAAGCTCTGCATGACTGGGCCACAGACTCCCCTCCCCTCTCTGCCAACCCAATGTCACTCACTCAGGAACATCACTGACCATCTGCAGAGCGTGAGGAAGTGATGGGAGATGGCAGGGGAGATGAGCAGGCAAAGCTGTGATTGCACCGTGATGGGCAGCCACCCACCTGCTCCCCAGCGGCAGGGCTCCTTCCAGACACACCAGGCAGGGCCTCATCCCTTATCTGCAGGGTAAAGCCTGAACTTCCCAGCAAGGCTCAAAGACCCTTCTGGGTGGGCACCTGCTGCCTGATGGTATTGCCCTCACTCTGCCCCTCCTACCTGGGGACTTTTCTGTGCGCCAGCTCCCGGGGGTCTCCTCCAGGGCCTCTGCTCTTGATGTTCCTGCTGCTGGGGCATTCGCCTGCCCTCACAGAGTCCCTTCCCCACCCTCAACACGGAGACGGGGGGCCTGTCTGCCTGCCTGGTGGCCTGCCTCACCTGGCCCAAGCGCCTCTGAGCAGAACCAGCGGACTTTTCTGCCCTGTCACAAGTTGAGCCACCCACCCACTCATTTGTTCATGCATTCATTCCACACAGCTGGGGCAAAGCCAGATCCTGATGGGCTGTGGGGGGGAGTAGATGGACAGGACTGCAGTGCGCTGAGCTCCCAGTCTGGCAGGGACACACAACTTTGGACCACAGGGAAGTCCTGGCTGTTATGGAGGACCGTCTACCCTGGCAGGGGAGGGCAGGGAGGCGGTGCACCAGTCACTGGCTCATGCCTGAGAAGCCTCTGTGAGGACAGTGGGGCCGCCTACCTTAGCAAGCTGCAAGGACTGAATGAAAAGCTGTGTGGAGCATTCGGAGCGGCACCTGGAGGGCAGTGGGATCCCACAAAACTGAGTTACTCCTGCGTGGGGTGAAGCGAGCACCTATGAAATGTAAAGGCAGACACCGGGTGGGGATGTGGAGAGGTGACACACCCAGGCTGCAGCAGCCGCAGGTGCAAAGGGCCCGTGGCAGGAACAGGCGTCAGTGGCATGGAGGCGTCTTGTGAGGAGCTGGGGAGGCATCGAGGCGTCTAGAGGCCAGGCTGGGGAGAAATTCTGCAGGACTGACCTGCCTCCTATGGGACTTCTGATGGCAGAACCCCCTCCAAGCTATTTCTCCTTGCCCTCAGAGGGCACAGCCCCATCTTTCCACCCCCAACCTTCTGGGAGGGGGCAGGATGAGGCCTCATCAGTTCACTTCCTCCTTCAAAGCCTAATCATTGTGGCTGCAGCAGCCTTCCCGCATTGGGAATGGAGAGGCCGCTCCGCCCTTACCGGAGGTGGCTGCAAACCTCGTTTCCCTGGAAACTGAAATAATCAGTGGAAGTCAGCTCATGGTAAGTCTGCTGGCGCGCGTGGGTGCCACGATTATTATACAAGTCGATTTACACACTGTCCTTTGAAAACCTATGCACCATCAATGCAAAGGAAGGGTCACTATTCCCACTGCTCTGGCGAGTCATCGTGCAGGGACGCAGGAGCGTTCGCGAGGTTCTAAAATCTGCATTCTCTGCTAAAAATACAGTGAAACATGCTCGTCCCCCTCGCAGCTATCGCCGTTGAAGTAAATCCCACGCACATGTCCAGGGAGCGCAGGAAGGGCCTTCGCATAGATTCACATGGGCAGATGGCTTCCGTGAAGGTGGGCGAGGGGCCTGCGCCCGCACTGCCTGAAACCTGTGGGTGCCGCTTCCTTCAGACAGGGTCTCTGGGGGCTCTGCCCAGGTCCACCGGGCACCACGGGACACGCCGTGCCCTTCAGGGCCTTGAAGCTGTGCACTCTGGGCGCAGGCTCCACAGGCCAGAACTTGCTAAGGTTGGTGACGGGGACCGAGGTGCGTTCTCAGCGCGAACCTGCACCTCCCCCGCGCGCGGAGCGCTTTCCCTGGCTGCAGCCACCGAATCCGGCGCAAAGTTATTTAACGCCGCAATTAGCCAGGAGGGTGAGTCATCGGCTCCCCAGCCTCTCTGCCGCCGCAGCAGAAACGAACTGGAAGGGACCAGGAGTGCAGGCCCAGCTGCTGGGCCGAGGCCCTTCCGGAGACGCCCCCACCCCCCAACCAAGGGGCCGAGGCGAGCTCCTCTCAGGAAGAGGCAGGAGGGCCCAGAGAGGCCGGGGAGGTGACCTTCTCCCACCCCACCCACCAGCCACCCCGGCCTTCCCCTCACCCACCTTGAATCGTCAGGGTAGGAATGAGGCGGAGGAATTTGCCGCCCTCGTCCCCCTCACTCAAGCCGTGAACCGCCTTCTGATGAATTAATTCACGTGCACCCGCGTCTGGGGAAAATTCCTGTCTGATCCAGAAGAGCTTTGTAGACTAAAACCAAACGAGACTCATCCACGGTTCTGCCTAAGACGTCACCTCCAGCTTGGTTCAAATGGCTAGTCCTAAAAGTCAGCGCCCCTGCTTATCCCGAACCGCGCGCACACGCACACGGCCCACCCGCACACACGCGCGCGCACACGCACATGCACACACCACACACGAAACACACTACACGCCCCACACGCGCCCAGAAGCGACACACCGCACGCGGGCACACGTCAGCACTTCCCAGAGACCCTGACCGTCCCCCTCCCTTGGACAACCCCCTCCCTGGCTCCCTCCTCCCTCTCCCTCCCCGGGCTCCTTCCTCCCCCCCAGCACCCGGCTCCCTCCCCCATGCCCTGAACTCTTCTCCCCTCCCCCTGCCCCGCCAAACACCCGGTCCCCTCCCCCTTCTCCCGGGGCTCCTTCCGCCCCCAGCACCCGGGCTTTTCTCCCCCTCCCTCCTCTGGGTTCCTTCCCCCCCAGCACCTGTCCCCCTCCCCCCGGCTCCTTCCCCCCCAGCACCCGCCCCCTCCCCCTCCCTTCCCGGGCTCCTTCCCCTCAGCCCAGCACCCGAGCTCTCCTCCTTTCCTCCCTCCTCTCCCAGGCTCCCCCTTTCCCCTTCTTTAACCCAGGCTCTCCCGCATACCCACTCCCCCATAGCACAAGAGCTCCTCTCTCCCTGCTCCCTGCACCCCCATAACTTCCACAGGCCGCTGACAGGCGGGTGGGTGGGAAGTGCGGCCCAGACCCAGAGGCTAGGGGAGACAGGGGAGCGCAGACGCAGGGGCGCCGAGCGGTGGGGAGCGCCGGGGGTGGGGCCCAGGGGGTCCGAGGGGGGGAGGACAGAGAGGGAGAGAGAGAGGGGGGGAGAGGGAGAGAGAGAGGGGGGAGAGAGAGAGAGAGAGAGAGAAAGCTGGGGGTGGAGGGCGGCGTTCCCGCAGCGGCCCGCGCCGGAGAGGGGCGCGGATAGGGAAGGAGGGCGGAGAGACGCGGCTTGGGGCCCGGGTACCGGAGGAGGTGGCGGAGGGGCGTCCCGGGGGCGGCGGGGGCTGCCGGGGGCGGGGAAGGGCGGCGCCAGGGCTAGGCGCGCGGGGCGGCGGGCGGGGTGGGGGGCGGGGGGGAGCGTCCTGGGAGGGGCGCCGCCGGCTGGGGAGGGGGCGCGCGCGCCCTGCGGTCCTCGGCGCCGCATCCGTTCCCGGCGCGGGGTCGCGGCGGCGGCGGCGGCGGCGGGAGGCGGATGATGCGGGCTCCGGCGGCGGCGGCGCGGGCCCGGGAGGACGCGGGAGGATGAGGAGGAGGCCGGCGGTCCGGCCGCGCGGCGCCGGGAGGAGGCGCAGGCGGCGGGGGCGGCGGCGGGCGGCGGCGGGCGCGCGGGGTGCGGGCCGGCTCGGGCGCGGAGGATGAAGTGGAGCGTCCGCGGGGCCTGCGCCGCGCTCTCCTCCTGCCTCCTGCTCGCCTGCGCGCTCAGCGCCGCCGCCGTCGGCCTCAAGTGCTTCTCGCTGGGCTCGGAGCTGCGCGGGGAGCCGTTCCGCCTGGGGGCCGCCGCCGGCGCCTTCTACTCGGGGCTGCTGCTGGCCGCCGGCCTCTCGCTGCTTGGCGCCGCCCTGCTCTGCTGCGGGCCCCGGGAAGCGCCCCTCGCGGGGCCGGAGCCGGGCCCGGGTCTGGGGGTCCCCGCGGCCTCCGCGGGAGCTGCCGAGGCCGCGCCTGGGGAGCCGGGGGCCGCGGCCGGGGCCCCGGGCCCGGTGAGCAGCCAGAACCTGCTCCTGCTCGGCGTCCTCGTCTTCATGCTCGGGGTCCTCAGCGCCTTCGCGGGCGCAGTGATCGACGGCGACACGGTGTCGCTGGTAGAGCGCAAGTACTCGCACTACTGCCTGCCCCCGCGGGCGTCCGGCTCGGCCCCACCCGGCGCAGCCCCGGGTTCGGCCCCCGGCGCGGCCCCCGGCGCCCCGCGTTCCCGCAGCACCCTGGACAGCGCCACGTCCGCCAAGTGCCGGCAGCTCAAGGACTACCAGCGCGGCCTGGTGCTCTCCACCGTCTTCAACTCGCTCGAGTGCCTGCTGGGCCTGCTCAGCCTCCTGCTGGTCAAGAACTACCGGTCGTCTCAGGCCCGGCGCGGTCGGCGCGGACGGCGGAGGGGAGGCCGGGCCCTGGCGCGGCCCCGCGGTGGCTCCGGGCTCCGCGCGCAGCCGCCCGCCTCTCGGGCGCGCCGGGGCCGGAGGGGTCGGCGGGGGCGGCGGCTGCAGCCGCGGCCGAGCGAGGCCTCCATCCTGTCCCCGGAGGACTCGGACCTGGCCGCCCCCGGGGACTGCGCGGGCTTCGCGGCGCACCACGCGGTCTCCTACATCAACGTGGGCGTCCTCCACGCGCTGGACGAGGCGGGCGCGGAGGTGCGCTGCGGGGGGCACCCGTCGGTGGAGCTGCCGGGGTACGCGCCCTCGGACCCCGACCTCAACGCCTCCTACCCCTACTGCTGCCGGCCGCCCTGCGAGACGCCGCGGCCCTGGGAGACCAGCCGGGCGGCCTGCTGAGCCCGCGGGACGGACCCCCACCCTGCGCCCCGCTCAGGACCCCCGCGGAGAGGGAGGACGGGCGGCGGGGCGGGGGCCCGGGCCAGGCCTCAGGGGCGCCGCCTCTTCCACGTAGCCCCTCTGCGGGGCTCCGTGACCACAGGAGGGGGTCCCTGGTGTGACCATTTCTGTATCGGGGAGGTTTCTCTTCTTATCTGTGTCGTTCATATCTGGACTCCATTTCCAAGTTTACAATAAATGTTTGGGCTTGACTGGCCCGACCGCACTTTTCTTGGCAAGTCCAAACCCTGGGGCGGCTCTGCCTGGTGGTCCGAGGCGAGGGGGACGGAGCGAGCGCCCGCCCCGGGACGGCGACTTCCCGCGGAGGAAGAGCGCGCCGCCGACAGGACAGAGACGCAAAGCAGCTGGTAATTCAGGAAAGAAGAAGTGAAAACACCCAACAGCAACACTTTGTACACGGATGTGCCTGCTTTTGTTGATACTTTCTTACTGTAAAGCTCTCCATAAACAGTGAAAATGTTTGGTAAATTTATTGCAATTTAAAATTGGTGAGTTCCTTTATTAAATTAATGGCTATGTTATTGGAGATTATGCATCGAATTGGAATTAGAGGATGTCTACACACAAGTCAGCGTGGGGGGAAATGGTTGCATTTGGTCGGACAAATGTTGAGTTGTTTGAACAGTTGTATTCTGCTAGCTAGTTGACTGGATCCAACCTCTTTCTGAAGCTAACTTTCTGTGTGTGCAGAGACACTGATGCCACGTCCCATACAGTTCTCTTTTTGGAAACTGGTTGTGTGGTTTCGACTGCAAAGCAGAACTTATTTTTGGTTAATACATATGAACAATCTAATCCTATTTTGGAAAATCAGTCATAGTTTTTCTGGCATAGATAATTTTCTTGGTAACTCATTAATCTGGTAATTTTGAGTATGATAGCCTTTCATTTAAAATGTACCCCATAATAGCCTTAATTGATGTGAAGGTCATACTTTTAAATGATCAGGATATGTGTGTGTGTATTTTCACACATGATATGAAATGAGTTCCATATGCTGGTGGAGTGTGTTTCCATCTGTCTGAGGGGTTGGCTGGGAGCCAGGCCAGCTCCAAGTCTTGGGAAAAGGTGATCTCACAGCTGGGAGCAGAGCCACAACCTGGTGGAAAAGATGTGTACCTCTTGCTGGGGGAGCGGAGGCAGCCGGTGCTCTGCGGGGTGAGTGCCAGCTCAGAGCAGTTAGGAGAGAGAAGCTACAGAAACCACGTGTAATATCTGTATTGTGTACAGAAGTCTACTAATAGCAGGAAAAAGTAGCCAAATTTAAGGATGGAGCATAGTTTTCAGCTGCAGGCTCTGGAGTGAGGCCTCTCCTCAGCCCCTAGTTGCCCAAAGCCAGAGCTCTCTGTATCTCTGGTGACCAAGGCCCGTCCCAGCTGGCCCCTGGCTGGGCTGCCCTGCTGCTGCAGAGGCCACAAGAGGGAGGAGGCTTCAGCTCCATTTCATGATGAGAAGTGAGACCTGTCACCATTCAGAGGGCTGATCTCCAGAGCTGGCAAACCTGTGCCTGCTGATGCCTGCTCAGTCACTGCGAAGCTCAGGCCAGTGTCCTCTCCTTGCTATGTGGATGCTGCTGGAGGACAAAGAATCACTCACAGCCAGTTTCCTAGGTTTTCATCCTCAGGCCTCTTCAGATAGCGGCCCATAATAGGCATCCCTGAGTGGTAGAGTGAGAGAGGAGGTCCAGCCAGACAGAGGACATGACCTGATTGGTCCCTGTTGTCCTCAAGGCCCAGTCCTCTCCTGCCTCAGGACAACCAGCCCAGCAGTCACCAACCTAGGCAAAACTGATCGCTGGCAGACTGTGATCGCACTGTGACTTTTAAGATACTTCCCTCTGTCTGCCTGCATCCAATCAGCACGGCATAGCCAGGGGCCTCCTGCTTCCTAAGCAGAGGCCTCTCAGGTGGCTACAAGGCCAGCCTTCCAGAGCTACACAGCAGGGGCAGCCAGGTGGGTCTCCTGGGGGTGGGCACTTGGTGGCTCCCTACAGAAGGCTGCCAGGCGCTGCCCTGGCAGGAGCAAATGCATGGGCAGCACGGGTGCAAAAAGTCAAACCTCCTGTGTGCTTTTTGTTTTCCAAGGTGTTTAGTCTTAATTGTTTTGTACAGCTTAAAATGTTAGATGCCTTATGAGTCTTTCAAATTTGTGATCAAGATCAGTGACCTCTCTAAAGTGTCAGGCGTTTCTTGGGACAAAACAGAAGGTAGAACATAGTTGGGGGCAGAGGCCACAGCCAGGAGCAGGTTGCACACCCTCCTGTGCCCTTGGGCACACCCTCCTGTCCCTGCGTGCACACCCACATATCACCACATGCACACCCTCCTGTTATGTGCATACCCCGTCACTGTATGCACACCAATCCTATCCCTGCATGCACACCCTCCTGTCACTGTGTGCACCCCCACCCTGTCCTGCATGCACAACCTCCTGTCACTGCGTTCTCACCGTCCTGTCACTGCATGCACACCCATCCTGTCCCTGCGTGCACACCCATCCTGTCCCTGCTTGCACACCCTCCTGTCCCTGCGTGCACACCCACCCCGCCCTGCATGCACAACCTCCTGTCACTGCATGCTCACAGACCTGTCACTGCGTTCACATCCATCCTGTCCCTGCACGCACAACCTCCTGTCACTGCGTGCTCACCATCCTGTCACTGCGTGCACACCCTCCTGTCACTGTGTGCTCACACTCCTGTCACTGCATGCACACCTGTCCTGTCACTGCGTACACACCCATCCTGTCCCTGTATGCACACCCTCCTGTCACTGCGTGCTCACCCTTCCTGTCCCTGCATGCACACCCTCCTGTCACTGTGCGCTAACACTCCTGTCACTGCATGCACACCCTCCTGTCACTGTGTGCTCACACTTGTCACTGCGTGCACGCCTGTCCTGTCCCTGTGTGCACACCATCCTGTCACTGCATGCACACCCTCCTGTCAATATGTGCTCACACTCCTGTCCCTGCATGCACACCCTCCTGTCACTGTGCCTCACACTCCTGTCCCTGCATGCACACCTGTCCTGTCCCTGCATGCACACCTGTCCTGTCCCTGCGTGCACACCTTCCTGTCACTGTGCGCTCACACTCCTGTCACTACATGCACACCCTCCTGTCACTGTGTGCTCACACTTGTCACTGCATGCACGCCTGTCCTGCCCCCTGTGTGCACACTCTCCTGACACTGCATGCACACCCTCCTGTCAATGTGTGCACACCCTCCTGTCACTGCATACACACCCTCCTGTCATTGTGCCTCACACTCCTGTCCCTGCATGCACACCCTCCTGTCACTGTGTGCTCACACTCCTGTCACTGCATGCACACCTGTCCTGTCCCTGCGTGCACACCCTCCTGTCCCCTTGTCCACTTCCCTGGCCTGGGTAGCAGGAAAATCCAGGAGTGCACAAAGACCCAGCTGGGGCAAACTGGCCTTTTCCATGTGACCAGAAAGTTAGATGAGTTGTTTTAAGATTGAGTGTCCCTAGTTCCAGGACTATTCTTAGTTCCACTGTCATAGGTGTTCATGTGCTGATGTGGAATACCCAGGTTTGATTTTTTTTTTAATTTACCGGAGAAAATAGAATCCCACATACTCCTAAACTCAAATTGCCCCAAAGATCAATTCTCAGGGAAATGAGTGGACCATCATGAAGACATCAGCCTTCCTTCCTAGTTACCACTGACTTACTGGTTACTGCTGTAGCACTGAACGCTGAGGTTATCCAGCTCACAGCAGCAATTTCATGCATGTTCATCCTACCTTTTTAAAACTTGAAGTTAATGATTGAGAGTGGGTTCTTTGTGCTACTTGCAAAATAATGTCAGTTTTCGGACCTCTCTCTCTCTCTCTTTCTTTCTCTCTTTTTAGACGGAGTCTCACTCTTGTTGCCCAGGCTGGAGTGCAGTGGCATGATCTTGGCTCACCGCAACCTCTGCCTCCTGGATTCAAGCGATTCTCCACCCTCAGCCTCCCAAGTAGCTGGGGTTACAGGCACCCATCACCACGCCCAACTAATTTTGTATTTTTAGTAGAGACAGGGTTTCACCATGTTGGCCAGGCTGGTCTCAAACTTCTGACCTCAGGTGATCCAACCGCCTCAGCCTCCCAAAGTGCTGAGATTACAGGCATGAGCCACCACACTCAGCCCGTTCTTGGACTTTTCTAAAAATGAGTCGTATTCTGCTTCCCTGAGAAGAGTTTATTATGATGATGAGATAAAGAATTAAACAAATTTTAGCATTTTTACATGAAAAAATGCTGAGTTGGTAAGTTACTGTTTTAAACACAAAGCTGTGATTTGGCTCAGCGGTAGGAGCTCGCAGCTCATGTGGCTGGCTAGGTGTTGACTTTAAGGGATAACTTAGCAGAGGCAACACATGATGTCGTGTGCAGAATGGGCAGCATGGTCGCCAAGCAAGCCATGTGTTTTAAGATCAGTGAATGGAGCTCCCAGGGCCTCAGATATCTGAGGTTGAACATCTTTCCTTGATTTTTGACTGAAAATTCAATTAAACAATCATTTATCTCTAAATATTGGTCAGACGCTTGTTTGTTGTGAATATCAAACTGAATTTGATGAAAATTTTTACTCCTGGTTGGTGTCCTGATGCAGTTCAGGAGGAAGCCATGAATGTATATATGCACACACGGGTGCATGCTTGTGTGCGTGCATGTATGCCTACCTGTATATATGAGCACGTGCTCACACACGTGCACACACACCATACACTTGCACATACACAGGTGCATGCTTGTGCATGTGCATGTATGCATACATGTATATGTCAACACGTGCTCACACACATGCACACACACAGTACACCTGCGCATACACAGATAGGTGCATGCTTGTGCATGTGCATGTATGCATACATGTATATATGAACACGTGTTCACACACATGCACACACACAGAGTACACCCACACATACACACATGGGTACATTCTTGTGCGTGTGGATGTATGCATGTATGTATATATAAATTTGTGCTCACACACATGCACATGCACACACAGTACACCTGCACATACACACATGGCTGCACACTTGTACATGCACACACATGGCCTCCTGGGTAGTATCTGAGAGCCAGGCCAGCGGCCCTGCCTGGAGCATCCAGGATGCAGGAGGAACCTGTCCAGGGCATTGTGGCCTGGCTGTGGACCGGCATAAGCGCTAAAGGAGCATGTCCCTGAGAGGGCGCCCTGTCAGTGCTGAGCTGCGTTAACGTTCCCTGAAAGCTCTGTCCTGTCCGTGTAGTAGAAGGCTAATGGGGCAGCCATCACCTGTGGGCCAGCACAGCATGATGGAACAGTTCAGGGAGGGCGCTGGAGTTCAGGTGAGCAGTGGGTGGAGGATGCAGAGAGGCAGGTGAGCCAGGAGGAGTTTCTAGGCCCTGGGGCCGGTCCATGGTGCTCACACACTGCTACGCTGGACTCTGGTGCTGACCAGGCCAGCACCCCGTGTCACCCTCAGGCCCAGCTCTTTGCTGAGTGGTGTGGTGCCCTTCAGTGCCCTCAAAGTCATCATTACCCCAAATCATTATTTTTCTCACTAAGATATGAGAGAAAATTTCTAAAAGGCAGAAACCTTAAGAAAACTGAATTCCGGGATTTAAATAAGTATATGCTGTTTGTGTGCTTATGTACCTGCCTTTTCAAATGAGGCAGAGGCAGTGGCCTGACGGCAGCTGCTTCAGTTTCTCAGTGGCCCGGTGCCTTTGCTTAACTTGCTGCCTTCCAGCATGTAATAGAAAAACAGCAACAAAATGGAAGAAGAAAATAATGTAGGAAACAAGTGTGCAAATATCATTATGTCCCCACAGGTGGATTCTCCTGAGGACTTCTTGGGGTGGCAGCAGAAACCCTGAGGGCTCCATGATGGAACCTGGTCCATAGCAGCTTCTTAAAACCTCCACTTTGCCAGGGAAGCCATCTATTCACGTGGATTTCACTTGGACAGGCTTCGGCTGATATCATCTACATTTTGCCTTTTATCTGCTGTTGATCCTCAACAGAATGTAACTTTTTTGGATCAATAAAATCCGTTTTAAAATACAACGTACTCCACAAAAACAATCCTTCATTCCCACCTGTGCGGTCATCATCTTGTTTCTGGTGGACTATGCAGCAGCAAGCGGCCAGACTGCCCAGGAGCACTGAAGGCAGGAGGGCTCTTTGCCCCCCACAGAGTTGGCAGCGGCTCCCAGGAGGCCCCAGCCCACACTTCTAATGGCACCTGGAGGGCTGTGCATCCCCCATCCTCCCATCCTCCAGGGCCTGGGTTCTCCAGCTTCTGTGCACCTGCCACGGCCCTACCACGTTTGCTATTTCCCTTTTACACTGTCTGAACGTCATCGCCTGATCTTTTCTTCATCTCCATTTTTTTTTTTTTGAGACAAAGACGCCCTCTGTTGCCCAGGCTGGAGTGCAGTGGCATGATCTCTGCTCACCACAACCTCCGCCTCCTGGGTTCAAGAGATTCTCCAGCCTCAGCCTTCTGAGTAGCTGGGATTACAGGCACCTGACATCATGCCCAGCTAATTTTCATATTTTTAATAGAGATGGGGTTTTGCCACGTTGGTCAGGCTGGTCTCAAACTCCTGACTTCAAGTGATCCACCCACCTCAGCCTCCCAAAGTGCTGGGATTTCAGGCATGAGCCACTGCACCCTGCCTTCATCTCCATTCTTGATGGAGCATTTTCATAGAACTCAGATCAGATCAGTTTACCCTAAACTTCAAGAGCTGTGCTTTTTCTGAGGAAGGAAAGTAAAACCTTGAGGGCCCTCAGGCCAACTTTTCAGCCTTTGCTGTGGGCAAGTGGGGCCCAGGGAGGAAGTGGTAAGGGGCTCCTGCCTGGTGGGTACCTAGGAAAATGCATGTGACCAGTGAAGCTGGTGGTCCCTGGACAAATGTTGGGGGGCCTGAGGGGTGTGGTGGGGACGGCCCTGCGGAAGAAAGGATCCCTGAGATGGGCCTGGCCTTCTGATACTGACAAAGGGCTAAGGGATGGGACAAGACAGGCAAGTGGGGACAGCAGGAAAGTGCTAAGGCTGAGGCCAAAGCCAGAAATACTTGGAGGAGATCATGTGTCTTTCTCTGCAGAGGGCGGCATGGGCTGGGGAGGCAGGAGACTGATTGGAGGTGGATGCAGGGAGGTGGGGAGAAGGAACGCAACCAGTGCAGGCAGGACCTGTGGGAGTGATGGAGCAGAGGCAGCTACAACAGCAGCCGACAAGTCCACAGCTCTGGTGGTCATGCCGTTCTCCCGGTCCGTCCTCACAAGGCTAATGCCACCCTCTTTACAGACGAGAAGACAGAGCTGCGAAGGGACTTGCCACCGGCATGTGTCCAGGTCCTCTGGCCTCCCAGCCCCACCCTGCACCAGGCATAACTGGCCCTTGGGGGAAGCAGGACCACAGCCCCCACCTCGTTCCCACCTGGTCATGTGTTTCTGTACATTTTGCAGTTGCAGGATTCTCAGCCCTTTTTATGAGAGGAGGCTCCAGACACTGTAAATGCCTGGTCCACACAGCCATGCCTGACTCCACCTCCTGGGTCTGCAGCTTGGGAAAGGGGCATTAGATGCTTTCTCAGGGGTCTCCCCGAGGCAGGACCATGTGTCACCCCCTCCCCAGGAGCTTGGGAAAGAGACATCAGAAAGACAGAAGACAGCACAGAGCCTGCAAGCCTGCACCTTCAGCCTGCTGCCAGCCCAGTGTCTCCCCAAGGAGTGGCAAAGCATCATACCAAACACCAAATACTCACAGGCAAACTGGCTGTCCCAAGGCTTCTTCGGGACAGCCAGTTTGCCTGTGAGTATTTCTTCACGAACTGCTGAGTGCCAGCAGTGCTGGGCAGGACGCAGCAGGCAGGAGGCCCTGTCCTCTGGGCCCACCAAGAGCTCTCCAGGCCCCTCAGGTCACAGACAGGACCACCCACGGGACCTCGCTGTGGTCATCCTCAGCCGCACACTGCCCTCTAGCTCCCAGACCTGCCGGGGCACCATGTCCAGCCTCTAAGCCCTCCTAGGGGGTCCACTCCACACACAGCACCCTTTCCTGCCTCTTTATCTGGAAAACACCAACATTTTATTCAAAGTAAGGCCTGAGAGTCACCTCCCCATGGAGTCATCTGGTCCTTATGTGCACACATTCACCTGCACAGAAGCCTGTAGCAACCAGACCAGCCACTCCCTGAGAGAGAGAAGTGGCTGAGCTTCCAGCCTGGCCCCTGGTCAGCCCCTAAGCTTCTGAAGGCAGGACTAGAATCCTCTTAAACTTCCATCAGCAGAACCAGTCATGCACATGATATGCAGGTCATAGGATGCAGGAGTAGGGTGTACATGGTGGGACACAGGTGCTAAGATGTACCTGGAAAGATGCAGGTGGTGGATACATGTTGTAGGCTGCAGGGGGTGGATACAGGAGGTGAGATGCAGTGGGTGAGATGCAGGGGGTTAGATGCAGGGGATGAGATGCAAGGGATGAGATGCAGGGATGGGATGCAGGGGTGAGATGCAGGGGTGAGATGCAGGGGGTAGATGCAGGGGCTGAGATACAGGGGGTGGGATGCAGGGGGTAGGATGCAGGGGTGGGATGCAGGGTTGGGATGCAGGGGCTGAGATGCAGGGTTGGGATGCAGGGTTGGGATGCAGGGTTGGGATGCAGGGGTGAGATGCAGGGAGTGAGATGCAGGGGGTAGATGCAGGGGTTGAGATGCAGGGGATGAGATACAGGGGTGGGATGCAGGGGATGAGATGCAGGGGTGGGATGCAGGGGGTGAGATGCAGGGGTGGGATG